CTAACACTTGATTCTAGGCAACCGCAGAGGGAGTCAGAATGAGACTGAATAGATCTAATTAACTTTTGGGGTGGTTATACAAAAAGACTACCCATGCAAAAATGTAAGAGCAACCTTAAAAAAACAGGATAGTGACATTACAATACATCCAAAATGCAATTAATTTTGTAGCTAAAATGAGAAAACTAAATTTTTCATTTTCATACAAATATGGGCATCCAAACTACACTGTTTACCTTTCTGCAAATAAATTATTTTTAATCACTGCAATAAAGGTGCTTTCATTTTTTACAATTTGTGTGTATTCCTAATACATAAACTTTTAAGATGCAACTCTCTGTAACATTTCAAATGCAGGCCCTAGCCAGGCAGCTCAGTTGGTTAGAGTGTATTCCTGGTAAAGCCAAGATTGAAGGTTCAATCCCAGCCAGGGCACATACAATTACCAACCCATGCATTGCACAGACAGGTAGAACAGCAAATCAATCTTTCTCTTTCTCTCTTCCTCCCTCTCTCCTTCTCTAAAAATCAGTTTTAAAAAATTCAAATGCAATCAATAACACTAACTTCCAAATCACTTTTACAGTTTATATTATGGAGAAAAAAATTATTTTTCATGAGACTAACTTTAAATTCTTGGTAACACCACCTATGACCATAAGAAGCCAACAACATATAAGAAGTAGTACTTCAGTTTTATTCTCCATTACTAATTACGATAGGTTAAATATGAAATTTTTTTACCCCCGATCCAATAACAGAAAGACTTTAAAAAAAAATTAAATTTAGGACTTATCAGAGACTTATAGTTAGTAATAAAAACTGGGAGTATTATCAAATTTTAAAGCCATCACTTTTGACAATATATTGTCAGAGAATCAATTGGCAAATTCATGAAAGCATGTAAATCTACAGCAATACAGAGCTGTTGAATTAATTCTATGCCATTACTACAGTACTGCAAAAGATTAGAGAATCTGTTTTTAGAACCAAAATCTCATGCAATTTATTCCCGAAATATAGTTTTCATGTTTTTAAAATGATCTCTATACTTCAGGAAGTATCTAGGTTGAAAGAGAATATTATCATAAAAACCTATTGAAATATGAAATTTTTCAAGAAGCCCAAAATAGAAGTTCCTTTGAAACAAGCACAACTCAACTTTACAAGGGAACCTGTCTAAAACAGATAATATTAAAGGTAAAGATTCAAAGGAACATGCCATCCTTAAAAATCAAAATGAAACAACAAAGTAAAAAGGAAATAGATTTTGAGGGCAAAATGAGGTAACATTAGGAACAGAATCCATTAAAAGTTAGTTTCTTAAATATCTGTATTTTGTTATAATGAATGTTGCTTGCAAGAAAACAGGATAGTGACAACTTCTCCAAAATGCTGTTATACAGAAAGTTTGCTGTAATAGAAAAATGACTTCTGCCTGGCTGGTGTAGCTCAGTGAATTGAGCACAGGCCTGCAAACCAACGGGCCGCCGGTTTGATTCCCAGTCAGGGCACATGCCTGGGGTGTAGGGGGCAGAAATGTTTCTCTCCCTATCTTTCTCCCTCCCCATCTCTAAAAATAAATAAATAAAATATAAAGAGAAAGAAAATTACTTCTATGCCATTTGCTCACAGAAAACTACCCTGATTTTAGAGACCCCCAAGAACATTTGTACAATTTATATTAAATTTCTTTCAACAACTTCTTATCTAAGGGTGGAAAGGGTATTTGTTTTGCCCATTTCTGTATTTCTGTACCTAGCAGAGGGCTGGAGACGTTGTGCATGAATACACTCATTCATTCAATCATTTATTCATTCACTCAGCAAATATTTACTGGGCATTTACTTCGTGCCAGATACTATGTAAGTAGTGAAGACACAGGACAAATGATAGGGTCCTGCCAGGTAGCTTATTAATCTAGTACAGAAACAGTTAGGTTCCTGTTGTGATGATGCCATAAAGGAGAAGTATGTGGTGAAGGTATCGTGGAAACATACTCTAATTTTAGGAAGGAAGGGTCAAAGAGGTCAGGAAAGATTCCCCTGACAAATGACATTTAAACTGAGACATGAAAATTAACTTAGAAGTTGGTCGAACTTGGGAAGGTGAGGGGAAGCAGTACAGGTTGGGGGGGAACAGAACCTACTCAAAGGCCCCCAGGGTCAAGGAGAAGTCTATGTATAGAGTAACTGAAGGCACAGGAAATGAGAAAGGCAGGGGATAAGGATAGAAAGCTGGATAGAAGACCAAAGACAAATTGTCAACATAAAACAGTAAGAATGTAACAGTATCTGAACATTTAAGTCATTGGGAGTCTTTTTCTCATGTAAAATAAGTAATCTGAGGGAACTGAGACAACAATACTCAAGATCTGGAGAAGGAAGACATGAATAATGCATTGTACCCACCAGTGACCAGTTACATGCCCTTGCGCTTAACCAATCTGAACCTCTTTATTCTCTTTGTAAACAGGTACTCAATATTTACCTACTGAAAATACAATGATAACATACAGTCCTGTTCTTATGACCTTACACCCTTAAAAAGAAAGTGACGTAAGTATATGGGAGAAATCCAAAGTCCTGTAAGAGATGATGTTCAAAGGCTGACAGGAGGGTCCTGCCAAACCACTGTAAAAATACAAGTGCACACATAACCCTGTGAACCTTCAGTTTTTCAATATGCAGATATCCAAAATGAGCCCAGCACTCCAGCATGTGACTGAAAGGTAATAAATGTAACAGAAATGTTATTCCACCATTGCAACATAGGTAAAATATTAAAACTGGGTCTCAGACATGAAAAGTAGTTAAGGGCAGAACTGAACCAAGGACAAAAATAACAGGTGCTGAACAAGCGCATTATATTAATTAACTGAATTTCCAAATGTTCCTTTTAGTTCAAAAGCTCATTCCACCTCAGAGCTACATGGCAAAAGGCAGAAAAACTCATTTCACACTTTCCCCCGACAAAAAGTAAATGCCTGTATTGCCATCTACAAAATACATGAATATTCTTGCTTTATGATCACTCAGTGATTTCCAGTTTATGATCTACTTAAACTATCACACTCCTGCAATAGCACAAAACCAGATACGCTCCACATAATTTTCCATTTGTTTAGTTGGTCTTCCTTCCTTGTGTACTGCATTACTCATGGCATTATATTATTCCTGATTTTACTTCATTGTACAGTATCATACCTCCCTCCCTTCTATTTTAAATGCCCTATTAATTTCCAGACTATCTTAACTTCAATCCGTAAGGGAACAAAATACCTCTGATCCTACAAAATGTTTCTGCATTCAAAAGGTAACAGTGATAATACTAATAACTGCAAAGTACATTCACAATACAACATATTTCAATGGTCAACTTGTACAACAGTAAACCATGACTCATTACCTGCTATTACTAGAGACCCAATTCCTGTTTATAAACTTACCACGAACAAATCCTGATGTCAAGGAATATACTCCAAAATTTAATTGAAGAACCACCCAATAATACTCATGAACTATAATCGGTCGTAGTAACAAATTTATATAGGGTAAGACTGGAACAAGCACACTACTTTCTACTCAATATAAAACATAAATGCCCCATTTTCCCATTCTTCAATTTAAATGAAGGATAAATTAAAAAATCACAGGTGACATCAAGGAAAAGAAAATACGCACGATCCTCATGTTATTTACACAAACAACCCAGAGTCAAGAAAATGAAGGGGAAAGTTTTTTAAAACAATCAATAAAAATGTGGTATTACCTTCAAGATATGCAATGTATCTTCTTTTCTAGTAATGATCACACTAAACTCTCTCGATGCTGTATTATTTGAAAAAAGTGCAAAATAAGTTTTGCAGAAGAATTTCAATCCCATTATTAGTTTTACGCAATGAGGGGAGTGGGGGGGACAGTCCTAAGGTATAAAGGAAAAATAACTATTTTTCCTTAACTGTTTATGTTGGGACATACTGTTTCAACTGACGTTCTCCTATGTCATCATCTACTATTTATAGTACAGTCCATCACTTAATATACCCCATAATAAAGGAAAATTTGTAAATGGAAATGGATTATTTCCTTATGTTTCTAAAAGATTAGAGTGCGTCCCTTTTTGTTTTTAATGGAGGAATTTCTCCCGAGTTCATAAAGTCCACACCTCATGAATGACTTCTTAAAAATACATAAAATGTATTTACTTTGCAACTTTTTCCACTCTCTTCAAGAAACAAAACCAACCCTCTGGTGCAGCAGCTCCGTTTCAGAAACCGGATTACAAAGATTAAATTCAGAAGATCTGTCCCTCTGTGTGTGACCTTGGGCACGTCATTTATCCCCTCGGTTTCCTCATCAGAATGCCAAAGTGAATGCTCTTTGGAAACAGTTAAGGTGTACACCTATCTTAGGAATTACAACTAAAAGGGTTAAGGTTTTCTGCTTTTGGCAAAATATCTTCTTAGAGGGTCCACATCATGAAACTGGAACTGGATCAGTAGAGCTCTGTTAACATTTGACTCTTTCATCTACAGTTCTCATTGTGCAAAGGACAGAATCCGAGTCACCCCCAAGAACAGACTCCCAAGCGTCCTTTCCTTCCTTCACTATGGAACTTCTAAAGCAGGGTAAAACATCTCTCCACCCCCCACCCCCACCCCAAGCCACACCTTCAGAGGACCCCACCCCAGGCACATCCGCCCTCTCCCTTCTCCGGGGACACCAGAGGCCAACCTCACCCTTCCCCTCTAACCCCTACCTAGACAAGACTTCCTGGAGGCGGTCGGGCCCCAGCTCGGCAGCAGGCATTTACAAACCCGCTTTACGCCACTCGCGTAGGATAACCTCGCTTACGCCCATAGGGCCCCGTTCCCAGCCCAGTCCGCTCCGCCTGCCAGAACTAAGCCGGAGTGCCTCAGCCACGGTCCTAGTGTGACCCCAAACCTCTTGTGCTCTGCGCAGAGCTATAGGGACTGGACAGAACAAGCCACACCTTACCGGCTACTGAGGCACTGACTTCACTTCGCACCTTGGAGCCCTCTTCAACTCGTATCAATTCACTCCGGCGACGCCGGAAGGACCCGAGAGGAACCAGGCGTTGTCCGGAATCCTGCTCAGCCGGAGTGCGCAGGGGCCTATGGGGACTCGTAGTCCCATTCACCGGTGTCGTGGGCAATTTCTGCATCAGCAGGACTACAATTCCCGACAGGTTGCGCGGCTGAGCCAACAGCGATGGGTGGGGACACTTTTAGCCAATAGTAGGAGAGTTCCCTGCCTTTGCGGGAGGAGGTGAACTGAAGAGAGAGGGTGCAAGGAAAGAAGAGGAAGGGAGGGGTCGGCTCACACCTGCGCCAATCAGGGTGCGGGGTCGGCCCCGGGGCGACTCACCCTTTGTTGGGGCAGGCTAGTGGAGCAGCGGGGGTAAGGGAAATGGGGTGGAGAGAAGAGTTCGAGTTCGGGATCGTGCAGCCGCTGAGCCTTGGACGCGGGCGGAATGAATGTGTTGGGACAATCGCCGAGACGGAGGGAAGGTGCAGTGTAGGGAATGCTCCACGGGTAGAGGAGCACCTCCACGATGGTGGCGGAGTCCTGGGCACATCGGGCGGGGCCAGACTTGGGAGTCGGGAGGGATAGGTTTAGCCCGTGCTCCTGGCGGAGAGACCCAGACGAGGCATCAGGAAGCTCGAGGTGTGAGGCTCCAGTGAAAGCTGAGGGTTCCCCAGGGAAAGGGAAGCGGCAGAAGAGCTGCAGGAGTGCAGAATTCAGGAACGTTTAGGCTGCAGCTTCCCGCCGCCTCCCCGGCAGCGGCGCGAACAAGTAGGGGGAGGAGCAACAGCTGCAGGATTGGCCAACTAGAGAAGGGAGAGGCGGGGCTTTTTGTTCTGTAGCTGCTGAAGGCGCAGCCTGGACTGTAGTTTCCCGGGAGAGGAAAGCAGAAACGGGAGCAGAGCGCAGTCGTCTGAGCATCAGCTCCCGCATCCCGCCAAGGGTTGCAGGTGTGTGGGAGGTAAGCGTGGGTGTCTCTTCTGGTGTCTGTACATTGACCCAGAGAAAAAGTCTTCCGAAGGAATTCTATCTAGGCACGGCTACAAAGAGTCTCTGACTCGGATTAGAGAACTGGTGCAAACCCCTTTAGGTGCAATGTACATTTTTGGACTTTAAGGGCCGGGGTGGGGGGCCGGAGGAAAAGGTGGCCTCTGTAAAGGGCGTGGTTAGTGTTTTGGGTTTGAGTTGTGTCATGAAAACTGTTTTGGGAGATGCTAAGATTGAGGGTTATTCTGTTAACGTTGAGAACAAGGTGAATGTTATCTGAATAGGTATGTCGCTGGTTACAAAAATTTATGTTGATACAAAATTACTTAAGAACTCTTTCAGGAGAAAAATAACTTCGCATTCTTCAATGTCTACCATTTACGTTGTTTTATCAGATTTTCCCGCTACCGACTTGTTTTCTAGGGTGGTTGTACTGCAGGTTCCTAGAATTGAAAGAGATCTGTATTACAGAAGCAAATGCAGGCAGGAAAAATCAAGATGATTAAACCTATCAGAAGTGTAACTTTTGCCAGCAATAATGTAAAAATATGTTTTAATAGATGGATACTTAGCTTTCCTTGTAGTGGCTATAGAGTATTGGAACAAAGACCGGGACTTAGCGTACAGTATGAACATATGGTGTACTTCATTGCTGCTCCTAATTCTCTCAATTATCACTGGTGGTATTTGCACGTTAAAAAAAAGTAAATAAAAAGTACAAGGAAAGCTGTAAGAGGATCTTTTCTGCTTAAAGAGTGTGTACTAATTAATTACCCTTCATATGTGTTACGATAGATTAAGAATTAAAACACTTGTAATAGCACCATAAAGCAAGTTTTTTTCTTGGCATTAAACCGTGTGTGGTTTCTTTTAATGTAATTAAATATCTATGGATGAAGATGTTTTAGTACCAGGTAAAGGTAGAAGACGTACCTACCTGCCTACCATATATACCATACCTAGATGATATTACAGCCTTTCCTTGTTAGAAAAGTATGTAAAAAGCTATTTGCCTAGTTGTTTTTCTTAGAGAGGTTCCCCAGATTGCATAGATTTTAATCATAGTAGCATATTGCAGCACATTTTGCTCTGAAATGCTTTCATTATGACAGTTGTGTATTTCAGTCTGCCTGAATACTTTAATACTCTGGAATTTTTTTTGAACTCTGGTCAATAAATTGGAGTAATTATCTTCTATTTTCTGATTTTCAAGCTTTCTTGAATTACTTTAGGATTTTATTTCTGTAAGGCACACAAAATTCCTTTTTGAAAAGAAAGGGCTGGAAGGGATTCTATTCGTAGCTTAAAGTTCATTCTCATCAGTGTGCTGCTACCAATAAACCTGAGACTTATCAATGTATTTACTACTCCCTGCAGTATCCCCTCTCACACTGTCATACACCAGAGCAACAGAGGCTGACAAGTCTTAGAAAAACAGCATCCTTTAGATTGTCTCCAGGCAGACCAGGTATGTATTAGAAGCAGCAGAGAGCTTAAAAAGCAACAGTAGCCACTAAACTTAGCAGCCACGGCAAGGATCTGATTTTATCTTTGCTACATCACAGTTTTATCTTTGCTATATCACAGGAGAGTCAATTAACCCACATAGCTGATATGACCCTGTGAAAATATTCTGGGGAGAGAAAATGGGTGTTTGGATACAGTGAGACTTGGAAAAGATTGTTTGCCCTTGTTATTTGTGATCAAGTGGACTGTCCTGAATCAGTCTTAGATTTTCTCTCAGACTGCTAGTGATTCATTTTGTGAAATTAAACACTTGCTGTCAATGGTTTATTTTTCCTGTAATAATAATAATTAATAACAATTCTAGCAATGAAGTTCTTTCTGAACTTCATTATTAAAGATCTTTTAATAAAGAGGCTTTATTAAAAGATCTTTTTCAGAGAGGTTTTTTTTGAGATCAGTTAATAAGCAAGTAAATGGGAAAGAAAATAAATATCAAAGTGTTGAAATTAACATGTACTTTGAATCCCAACTCTTCAAAGATCTTCTGCTCTTAGGATTAATGAAAGATAGAATATCATTAGGAATGAATGAATTTGTGGTATTAAAGCCCTGGATTTTTCACTTCTTTCCAAGATGAAGTCTTTTTATCATGTCAATGAAGGAGACTGGGTTCCTATATCATTTGTGAGTGAGAAGATCATGTTTTTATAAGGGAGAATATTATTAGCAATATATGGTACAGGGGTATTTGTTACCTTCATGTCCTGACACATTTTAAATTGATGTTCACATTAAACCTCAGACAATCTGAAGACATTGATTGTATGATACTGGTGTTGAGAGGTTTAGTACACAAGAATGCCGAATTTTATGTAAATCACTACCTGGGTTAAAGGCATATTATTTATTCTGCTCTTGGTTTTTACTATTTGTGTATGGCTATCAGGGACTATATGATATGATGAGAAAGGAAAACCAATGGAATGCAGAATGTCTCTCTTGAATAGAAATGTTCTGAGGATGAATGTTCTTTAGCCAGAAGACTTGATTAATTACAAAATATATTTTGGACTTTTTTTAATTTAAAATTCTGAATATAAGCCTATTGCATAACATGAATTTTTCTTTCTAACAGGAGATTCACTAATAACTTAAAGGTTCAAGATCAAAAGATTTTGGTGCAGTGGGGTGGGGTTAGGGGCTTTACAAGTAGGGACAGATATGAGGAAAACTGTTCAAGAAACATACCCTTACCAAGAGCAAAGAGATTTTTCTTTTCTTTTTCTTTCTTTCTTTTTTTTGTTTGTGAAATGCCTATAAGTGATTCCTGGCCTTCCCCCATCCCAGCCATTGATTTTTAGAGGCTGGTATCCATAGTATATAGTACTTCTATACACCGTCATTTTGATTGGAATCAGACTGACAGTAATTCATTCAATTTTTGAATAACTATGGGTTATTGAAACAAAGCGGAAAAGAACATGTATATATACAATCACTACTAAGTCAAACTTACTGTTGTCTGGATATAATATTAAAAAAGATGTAAAAACCTAAAATGATGTTTGGCTCTTAATAACAGAGGTGCTTGAACCAGACACTAAACATGAACAAGAGTTACACGTACACACACTGATCCCTTTTTATAGCAAACTCCTAAGGGTAAAGACTGTTTTGGTGATCAGGATTATTATAGAAACATAAAGATTTATTTTTTGCTTTTAATCTTACCTCTTGTTTTCATAATTTATTCAGTGATTGTGTTTTAAGTTACTAGATTACTAGCTCCTGTACTATACATTTTGTTCTTCCTCCTGCTGACTCTGAGCATTTTATATCAATGCTCAGCATAAATAAATAGCCCTAAAGCCATTTACTGAATTAGAACCATTGACCAATACTTTTTCGAAGAATTTATATTGAACTCATTGGGGTGACATTGGTTAATAAATTATATAGGTTTCTGGCATGCAATTCTATAATACAGCATCTGTATATTGCACTGTGTGTTCACCACCCCAAGTCAAGTTTCCTGTCACCACTTGTCCCCCCTTTACCCTCTTCTACCTCCCCCTGCACTCCTTTCCCTCTGGTAATTCTCATACTGTTACATTTGAGGTTTTTGCTTAATTCCTTCACCTTTTTTACCCAATTCACCAAACCCCTTCCCCACTCAGAATTGTCAATCTGTTCTCTCTGTGGGTCTGTTTGTATTGGGTTGGCTAAGAAGTCCATATAGTTTTTTTCTGTAAAATAAAAGACATATTTGTTTCATTTTCATCAATAACTTTATTTCTTTGGACATTCTGAGTATGTTAGCTATCTCCTGCATGGATAACATTGATTGTGTTCAGTTAATGTCTCAGTTTGATTGCTATTAACTTCAGTTTGTCTACCTGACTGTAGAGCATTTTCCAGTGAGAAATTTCTAGCACTAAATTTTATAAACCACTTTTGACACACTCAGTGGGTCACAGCATCTTCTCCACATACTGCACCTATCTTTTGTATTTCAATTGTGTTTTTACCTTTCTTGAAATAATAAAGCATAATATGCTGAAATGTGTGTTTTCTTCCATCTTCAATATTAAAATGGCTACACAAAAACTCACCAATTTTGATTTTTTTAGGTGCATGCTGATATGATAGCTGTCACAATACAATCTAACAAAATTGTTTTTGAATGAACTTAAAGACAACTAAACTCTACTAAAGCCATCTTACAGAAAAAAACAAACACTTTTTGGCCAACCAAATATTATGTTAGTTAATTTGGTTCATTAGATTCCACATATAATTGAAATCATAGGGTACTTGTCTTTCTCTGACTTGTTTACTTCACTCAGCATAATGTTCTCCAGGTCCTTTCATGTTGTGGCAAAAGGTAAGATTTCCTTTTTTATGGCTGAGTAGTATTCCACAGCTTTTTTAATCTACTCATCTACTTGTGGGCACTTGGGATACTTCCAGATCTTTGCTATTGTAAATAATGTTGCAGTGAACATGGGAGTGCATTTATTCTTCCAAATCATTGTTTTTAATTTCTTCAGATAAGTTTCAGAAATGGAATTGCTGGGTTATAAGATGTTCTGTTTTTAATTTTGGAGGGAAACTCCATACTGCTTTCCCAGTAGCTGATCCAGTCTGCATTCCCACCAGTGGTGAACAAGGGTTCCCTTTTCTCCACATCCTTGACAGCACTCGTTTGTTGATTTATTGATTATAGCCATCCTGACTGGTGTGTGGTGGTTTTAATTTGCATTACTCTAATGATTAGTGACGTTAAGCATCTTTTCAGACGTCTGTTGACCATCTGAATGTCCTCTGGAGAAGTGTCTATTCAGATCCCTTGCCCATTTTTCACTTGGACTGTATTCACTGAGATGTCTTGCACTTTGGTAGACAAGAGTCAGTTGACCTCACAGTGTGATTGCTATAAAGTAAACCTACTGAGACTGTTTTTGTGCTGGTTAGCCTTTGCAAAAGTGTCAATTGAGCCCAATTTGA